GTTCAGCAAATATGGAAATCTTCTGCGCCATTTGGACATGGGATTTCATATGGTCTCTCAGGAAATGCGACGAATTAAAACCAAATATGGGAAAAAACGTTTTTCCAAAGATGAGTTTCTCTCAGCCCAGCAGATCGCAAGTTACTTTAGCCGTCTTGTCACAAGAAAGAGGAAGTCTTACGATTGTTTATATACAGCGGAAGACCTGCAGGCTGTGATGACTGAAACAAACTTTCTTGAACTTAATACTATTGCTGCCTAAGTCAGTCACAATGAATGCATGGTTTTCTCCAGTGTTTTGGCTAGTTTTACATGCACTTGAAAGGATTTTTCTTGTGTGTGAATATTTCATGCGAGTAGGTTCAATTAATGCATTATATATAATAAGTCAATTATTCAGGATTACCTTACTTGTACTTGAGCTTAGATAAGGGACATTTTTCAACTGGGGTCAACATTGATTACTCATTCTACTGTAAATTAACACGAGGAAATTAATGTAGGATTAACTCTGTTTAGCTGGCTAGAGTGTGTTCATAGTGAAATTGAATATACATAAGGGGGCTTATAAGAAGGATGATCTTCTTGGAGGGGGTAATCTAGGAGTGTTTCAGATGGTCTGAAAAGAGAGTGTATCTTTGATGTGAGTGGCCTTATAAAAGGACCAGACTATTTTATGTGATGGAGGGTCTGTAAAATAAGTGTTTTACTTTATTTTATACCTTCGAAACACTGATAAAATTTGCAATTTTAATTTGCATTTGAGACACTGAAATATGTCATCACACGAAGTCCTGTCATCCTCTTAGGTAAAACTAAATAGAAACTGGATAATTATAACTGACTTATCTTTTGAAAATTTACGGTAACTGTGGGTCTTATATATTTGTGCATGGCTCATTATGTTCATAATTCAATATTCTCATCGTCAATTATCAAGAATTCTAGTTTGATATATTATAAAAACAATTTATTATCCCCCGCTTTCAACGAAACGGGGGATATTAATTTGGGTTTGTCTGTCTGTCTGTCTGTCTGTCTGTCACGCTTCGTTTCCGTGCAATAACTACAACAAATGTTAACCGATTTTCTTCAAACTTGGTCACAGGGTTAAATGCCTTAAGTGCTCGGCCAAGTTTGATGACCACTTTCAGCGGACCTCATTTGGTGGAGTTATTATCTGCAATTTCCGCTTAATAACTCTAGGAAATATTAGATAAGGCTTTATTTTCTTTGAGTTTCAAGCTATACTTATTCCTCAACAGCACGATACTCGCATGTTTAATCCTAATCTCAATAATGTTTACCTACAATATGTCCACAAAGCGGGGGATATAAATTCCACGAATTTGCTTGTTGAGTCTTATTCTAAATATAGAAAAGTGGAATTTGTTTCAATTTTTTTATTTTTAAAAAACAATCTCCAATATTTTTTTCCAATGTCTTGGTAGTTTCTCTCTTTTTACATACATTGAGTTGAGTATCTAGCATATTAAAGCAATACAATATTTAGTTTTACATTAGATTTTAAAATTATATAAAAAAAACCAAGATTAGATCAATCTTTTGAACTATTTCTTTTAAATGAGGGGGTATCTGTCTTCTTTCTCCCGCCCCTTTTCCAAGTTACTCTGTACGCCCCCTCAAGTATAATGATATAATAAATTATTTATGATTGTATACAGTTCAAGTATTTTACATGAAGTCAAAAATATGGAATACATTTGTTGATTTTTGTCATTGATATTCAAGTGTCGTTTTCCATTTCTATGATTGAATAAATGCATGAAATTCTGTCTTTTATCTTGATTGTTGATTCTTGGATTGCTATGATATTATGAAAAATACTTGGCAAGATGCAAAATTTTAAAAGCAGAAAACTTTCATACAAGTTTGGCAATAGGCAATTTTATTTAAAATTGAAAATTACTTTAACAAATCATGAAAAAGTCAACAATGACATAAAAAGCACACGAAAAAATCAACTCAATCAACAAAAAGTATAAATGAGGAAACACGAAAACAACAATGAAGCCAGTACACCATGTGGCAACAAAGTTTGGGGAGTGTATACATGCAGGAATCGGCCTGTTTTTCTGTCCAGACCAACTCCCGAGTCCTTTGTCCGATTAACACAAAATTGTATACAGCGACAGATCATGATGTGCACATTTTCCAGTCCGTTGACCATTCCCAGATTATGCTCCTTTTAACTGAGAAATTTTGATACTCTTCAGTAAGCACCTTGTCATCGCAACGGTTTGGGGAAACGGATAAACACATGTGCAAGAACATGTTTATATTCTATTTTAACGCACTGTGGGCCCAGTATTTTGCACTTGCACAGATTGGTTAACCCAGGCATAGGGCAAGTGGATTTTTACACCCCTGCAAGGGACCAAATGGTTGCCAAGGAACCAGTTGGTTGCTATGGAAATCATATTATTCATTTAAAAAATATTCAAACTCTGAATTCAACACAATTGAAAAATGTCCATTTAAGTACAAGGATAACTGCATAAAGAAATCAACAGTCTATCGGTAAGAATTCCTTTTTCTGTATTTCAATGAAATCCAAAAATTAACGTTTTTGTTAATTTCCATTTTTTTTCGAATTTTCCTTTTGCCAGTCAATTTTTTTTTTTTTCAAAAAGGGTGGTCTATACGAACATAATCATGTTACTATGTAGGATGTATCTGGTTGTAGAATAACTAGCAGGTCTTTCAAAATTGCTGTTTTTCAACATCTGAAATAAATACCAAAACATCACATGTTTACGTTGCCATAGCAACGGATTAAAGTTATTAATATGACATATAGTAAACAATTATTATGTGATAGCTTCTATTCTTTTAAAATTTCACGGTATCATCTCTCAAATCAATATATATTCTCTTTTTTTAAAGCTTCAAAGTAATGAAATATCACAGATTTTTTATGATAAATTAGCCGTTTCTATGGCAATAGTGATATTGCCGATATATATCCATGATGTTGGTGCAATTTAAAAAAAGATGTTGTAAATTATCAGTTGACAATATTTCAACATTTAATGCTCAATATCTCCTGACTTCCACTCTTAAGTGCTTTCCAAGTGATAAACTCTTTTTCTGTGCTTACAGTATAGCACATGTACATACATGTTTTTCTTTAATTTTTCCATGTTGTAATATTTTGGTCTGTTATTTTACTCATGTTTTGTCGTAATACAAGCTCTTGTAGGTGATGTTGTATGTTTTACAAAATTGACGTAAAATATATATTTGTGTATCTTATAAGTGCTTAAGGATTTTATCTGTAGTTTTTGGGACTATATAGAAAAACTTTACCCCAGTATGAGGATTTTTTTTAAACATTTTGTCATAAAACAAGTTATGTTCAGTTTTCAGACAGAAGATACTTTAAAATTGTACAACTCAGAAAAGGTTGAAAAATAATTATATTTCATTTTTTTCTGCTAAGAACTATTTAATCTCTAAAGTTATAAATGATAACTGTTTTAACAGGTCTAGTTTCCGAATTGGAAACCGAACCCTGTCTGACCTATTAATGATCATTAAATAAGACCAATTAAAACAAAAACTGTGTTTGCAAGTGTATGCATATTGTTCATTGCTTAAACAACATACCTTACATTAAGTCAACACTCGCCTGCATTTTCGTCTTTTCCGCTTCGCGTTGCGAATGATGTCTAGATCTAACACAAAATGAAAGTAAAATGTGCGCATGTCTAATTGTAAGGGAGATCACTCGTATTTTCCCGTAATACATGTCTGAAATCATTCCGAAGGTGTTGTTGTTTTTGTGTATATTCAATAAAAGAGTTAAGAGTCCTGTTATATGGTAATACTTCAATAAACGAAATACACAAATCACACCAACAGACATAAAATGTAGGCCTGTTGGCGCATATTTTTCGTTTCTGGCTGAGCTGTAATTAGCGAGCAGAGGATATAAAAATGCAATAGAATATCTTATGATGAATATAGAACAAAATGATAATACTGCGAAGGTAAAAAAAGCCTTCAGGTTAGAATACCAGTATCATATTGAATTTTGCGCGGTCAGAGCTTAGTTAACGTAGCTTTCTGACGACGAGAGTTTTTTTTATATATATTGCGTCGTCAGAAAGCTACGTTATCGCAGCTAACTAAGCTCTGACCACGCAAAATGCCAGAGTCATCAATTTTAGCCAATCAGAGGACAGAATTTCCGTGTACAGGGTTAATCCAGCGACAGTTCCAAGAGTAAATACGAAGTTTTAGAAAGATATTTAGTTCTAACTTAGAATAAGATTATATCCAATGACTTGTGAGTGAACTTGAGTCCGTGGTAATGGATTTTATTTGCAGTTTGTTTAGTATTACTGGTAGGTGGCGTTATGTTTCGTTTATGAATATCTGAGCTCATTAACCAGAAGTTGCGTGTAGCATGCATGACCTACAGTCAAGTGGCAGTTCCCGATTGAGAAAAACAGGGTGCATTTTCAATAAGAATACGACGTTGTGATAAGATCATAGGTTCTACCAAGGAGAGGAATGATATTTACAAGCCATTCAAGTGCATTTGAGTCCAAAGTTACGCATAATAAAGACAGTAGGTCCGGTATATGATTCAATTTAGTACCAGTGGGTACCGCTAGAGGCGTCTGTGTGAAAACGACATTTTTGAATATCTTGAGCTCATTAACTGAAGTAATACCAATAGCTTGCGGCTAACGCCTTAGCTAAAAATGTCTTCTTTTGAGTTGTTCTTTTAGATGAAATATTTAGATCTTACACTTTAGTAATAGTATAGCAATTTTACTGGCTGAAAATGGTCACTTTTGGGGTGACATGACACTCGGAACTCCATATTGAATGGCAATGCCAGCCTTAAATCATACATATTATAAGTACAGTTATAGCTTTTAGCCCTTTAGCTTCATTAACATCCTTGCTAGATCAGTCTGAAGATGTTGTTTTAAAATCATAAAACAAAACATAATAAATAAGTCAATATTATTACATTATTTATTTCTTGCACCTGTGTAAATGTTGTCTCGTTTTGAATATATTTCCACTAGTGAAATATAGATACTGGTTAGACATATTCTAAAACTGGAATATAATTATGTAACAAGTACTAATTGTAATGAGGGATCATCACAGAAGTCCCCAAAACTGCCCCCATAGTCGCAAAGACGCATCAGAAAAGGATCACAATGGCATAAAACACCTTCATACTAAATTTTAGAGAAATCAACAATATCTGAATTTCGACCAATCTGGAGCCTCTATATTGTTAGTATGGTAACGAAACTTACGCAGTTGAATTTGCAATCCCATAATACCCCTATATATCAAGTTTCATAAAAATAAAACAATATCTAAATTTCGACCAATCAGAAGTCTTCGTGTGGTTGCTATATAGTTACTAAGGCAACGAATCCTATACGATTTAATTTGCAATCCCCTAATACCCCGATGTACCATTTTTTTTATCCAAATCAAACAATAAATATCCCATAGTCGCAAAGATACAGCATATACACCTACATACTAAATTTGAGTGAAATCGAACATTTTCTAAATTGCGACCAATTAGAAGCCTCTGTGTGTATGATATGGCAACATTACCTATGCGATTGAATTCGCAGTCCCCTTATACCCAGGTAAACCAAATTTCACAAAAATCCAACAATATCTAAATTTCCAACAATCAGAAGCCAGTTTATGGCGGCTATATCAAATTAGAAAACAAATGTCGCAGTTGAGTTTGCATTGCCATACTACACATACATACTATTTGAACGAAATCGAACAAATAACGGAGTTTCGACCAATCAGTAACCAATAAATGGCAGTCATTTTGTCTAATTAGAAAACTGATGTCATGGTTGAGTTTGCGGTACCATCATACACCTACATGCCAAATTTGGAATTCATTGGAAAATACCTATAAAACATGTAAAATAGGATAGGTGACATTGGCTATCTTTAGCGAACACATTTAGAAATTTGAAATTCCCAAAAATACAAAAATTTGTGGTGGCCATTTTGTTGACAATAGCACGTCCTATACCGATACTTTCCTCACAATTTTATTTTGATGCGCCAAATATAACAAAAGTTATGTTTTCACATTTAAACTTGGATGGACAATCAAACATATCAAAATTATTAAAAAATAAAACAATGCTTGATTGTCCTTTAAATTTCACTTTTGTGATTTCAAAGTCTCACCATAAATAGTTTCACATGAAACAATGGAAATAAGTAATGTGCAGTACATTTCCATTGAAAGATTCCCCTTGTTCTTTAAAACAAAGATGCATCTGGATTAGCAATGTCCACATCTTTCCAGTCTGGAAATTGGGTTTAAATTCCTGAGGTTACTTTCAAAACAAAAGGCTTGAGTAACTGGAAGAGCAGTGCTGATCCTTTAGTTGACAAATGAAGACCGTCTTTCAGCAGTTTCTCCCAATCCTGTCAAAACAAAGATTTCTGTTATCTGATATCTGACCAACCATTTGACAAACGCAAAACAAATTCAAATTGTAATGCTGAATGTTTTAGCTATAAATCACACAAAATGTAACTTGAGAAACTGTTAGCGAATCCACAAAGATATTCATCTGATCTGGTATTCAAACTGTGTTTGCATATGGTTTAATAATCGAAATTACAAAACCCTTCAGTCATGCAAAGGTAGGGTCAACGCCTATGGAGATTTAACATTAGCGTTGGCCCCCGCTTGCAATTTAAATAAATCCATAAAGGTATTGGGATATGAAGCTTAGCTCGGGAACATTTAGTTTCAGAATTCATTTTATGATAAATGGGACCTCATTGACTTGCACCTGTGTGGGTGCTAAAAGTGTGGTAATACAGTTCCTCCTAGAGCATTTAAATGACACAATTACTCAAAAATTATATCATCATCGTGTGCAACATATTCAAACTGTTATTTTGATACAGATTTTTACACTATTTCAAGAAAGAATTGTTCTTTATCAAATCATTTAAAGATTTAAGCAGAAAAGTACGTGAAATTTCATTATTAAGGAGAAAATTTTCATTTTTGACACGTTAATTTACATAGTTCTAAAACGAGTCTATTTTTCATATTTGCTTAAAAGTTGGCTACCAATAATATCTTTCAACATCAGGAATTTCGAAAAAAATGACAACCGGTTAATTTGTCATATAACACTTTTGATTCAAAAAAGAAAAACAAAGCTTTCTATCCACTTTTCCTTTAACTTGTGTTTCCTGATGACCAAAGGTCCTTGGGTCTTTATATTTGTCATGTAGGTTGTTCATGTGAATGGAATTAAGTTTTGTAAACGTTGATGACCTTGACCTTTCTTTCAAAGTCACAAAAATAAGATGTGCTGAATTAAAAACTTTTGTATGGGTAGTCAGACAAGGATACCTTTTCTTGCTTTATTTGTTTAGAGTTAACGATATAAAATAATGTAATATTCCTTCATATTTTGTTTAATCAATGAGCAATAGGCAAAACAAAATGATAACTAGAGCTGTAAGCCAAAGACTAACTAATATCCCCGCTCCTATATAAACCAGAACTGTAAGCTAAAGGCTAACTAAGGCATAGCATAGCAAAGCAATCCATATTCTCCCCCAGTAATTATTTAAGCACTCCCTCCCCATGCCAAACATATTTCCATACCAAATCCTGTTAGCCCCCATGAACCAGTTTTGCTGAAATCGTCTTAGTAGTTAAGAAAGAGTTGTCAAGACAAAGGTTTTTTAACAAAGGGTCATAACTCCTTAAAAAAGGTCGAAATGAAAAAGATAATACCCTGATGTACGTACCTTGATGCACGACACCAGGGAGATAATTACCGTATATGTAAACATTAATTGAAATCGGCCCAGTAGTTTATGAGACAGACAAAGGATTTTGTTGGTCGGGTGGCGCAGTGGATAGCGCACTTGCCTTTCACCAAGGCGACCGGCATTTGATTCCCCGATCGGATGTGAAAAGATATGGGGTCACCTGCCCGACCACTTGGGGTTTCTCCGGGTACTCCGGTTTCCTCCCTCATTAAGTCCCCTAGCGCTAACATCCGGGACAACAAGAGTGATCTATATAAGTTGAAATAACTTGTTTCATAATTGCTGTAAAATAAAATAAAGTTTACAAAGGGTTTTTTTCAACAAAAGGGTCATAACTCCTTTTTAAGGGTTCGGAGTGAAAACATACTACTTGGTTGCACAATGTCAGGGGGCAGTTACCATATCTGTAAACTTCCGTTGAAATTGACTCCATAGTTTTAGAGGAGTTGTGAGGATAATAGTGTTCAACAAAGGGCCATTACTCCGTACCAAAGGGTCAGATTGAACAAATAATACCTGGATGCACACCATCAGGTAGTAGTTATCATATCTGAAAACTTTCGTTGTAAACGACCCCTTAGTTTTGGAGGACATGTCCGGACAAGGAATTTCAACAAAGGGCCATAACAAAAAAATGGGTCAGAATGATAAATAATACTTGGATGCACAACTTCAGGTGGCAGTTATCATATCTGGAAAATTTCATTGAAATTGGTCCATTACTTTAGAAGGAGTTGTCCGGACGAACTTTGTCTACGAAAAGACAGACGGACAGACATGCTGATTCCAGTATACCCCCTAACTTAGTTGCGGGGAGTATAATAAAGTGTACGATAGTTTTACTATTAAGATCATTTTATTGTTTTTATATCATTTCATATTTTTGTCTATAACACAATGTGAATCTTTAGTAGTTCCCAAGATGAAAGATTACTGTGGTAGAATACATATTCATGAGTTATTACTGCTGCACATAACTTTAAAACATGCGTAATATAATACAATGTTTTGGTATGATACAAAAAAAGAAAATGTATCGGTATTTACTAAAATAAACATTGATATTGGGTATTGATCATGTTTGACATGCAAAAAATATACTTTACCTGATTTTATATTACATACAAATGATTCTGTAGACAGAATACATAAATGGAAAGTTTTTAAAGAAGTTTGAAATATATACAACCATTGTAACTATATATAGACAAGTTAACAATGTTGATTATATTTAAAATTTTGTGACCATTTTGGACGTTTTCCTAATTAAAAGTATCCCTACGCTTACTTTATGTATACCAATATGACATATTTAGTATCAAAATAACAGCAATGTTATACACTGTACACTATCATAATTCATTTTCAAAATAACATTCTCCTGTGACATTTATCTGTCATTTTGTTAGGATATCCCCGTCACTCAACCTGGTGTTATGCAAGGAGGTCCACTACGGTTATCAGTAGCGATTATGAATAATCATATATGCAGTTATTGATCATTTTCATGTATCTACATATGGCAAAAGAATACAAGAAATCAAAGTGGGGGCCAAATGTTGACCCCACCTATATATACTTATAGGTTCACTTACGAGTGGTGTTTGGTTTATCATGTTTATCAATTTCGAGTTAGTTACTTTTAAAATGGTGTTAAGACAAGAGATTTACTGGGTGTCTTGGAAATAACTAACAAGACTAAGATAAACATGATGACCAATTGGGACATTTTTTCTCCGGCAACATTCAGATAAATCTCACAGCATAATCTTAAAAGTTGACCAAGGGTGAATCAACTAAACTGGGCTAAATTAAACAACAGTCCGAATATACACATTTGGCATATGTGACCTTTAAAGTCTGCAAAGGTCAATCATTTGAACAAACTTGGTGGCCCTTCCTTCCTGTATGCTTTTGGTTAAATATCATTAACCAGAGACTTTTAGTTATTGCGAATACATCGGTGGTTTTTTTAATATGTTTGACACATTGTCAATTCTTTATGCCTGAATTGTATCTGATACTTTTCTCAGAATAATGTTCAACATTCTCTTACATGATTCAAAGAGTATTACAATGTCTCAATATAACTAGAAGACTATTCAAAAGCTAAGAATACATTATGATTCGTTGCACAGATTGACTTATTTCCGCAATTCCAGTCTCGTTATGGAATGACATACTTTATCAATTAGTTTCATATGTTCAATTGGTCAATGTCAGATGTAAACAGACATTAGTTTTACAGTTAAATGGTGTCCACTCACTTTAAGTAAAACAATATAGGCATTGGAACTGTTTATAAAAGATATAGGAAATTTATAGGAATTACGCTAAAATATAGTTATCTTTAGGATTTTCTATAATGTTTTGTGCTAACATATGAGTTTTGAATGCTACATACATGCATTATCATCACTGAACACCATCACAAATAAATCGTTTTTTTTAATTGTGTAGATAACCAACTCGTTCAGAATGGCATTTGAAGTGGAAGAGTTCCTCAAAGCCCCCCCCCCCCCCCCCCCCCCCCCCCCGCCNGATATTCTTAAATGAGATGATCTATTTATATTTACAAGAAGTCAACAACTTGATATTAAGTCGGCAATGAGTAAATATGTAATCAAAAACAGGCTGATTACTTATTTTGTGGTAAAAGAACAGTTTGATAAGAGTGCTAATGATAACAATTGCTCGAACAATTCAGACATGAACATGAGATGAGATGTGCGGAATTAAAAATGAGGCGTCTCTAGTTTCTGCAACTAATTGCAGCATCCTTTTCGGTTTGATGCTGCAAAGAACATCAGACTAGTCCCTAAGTTTCAGGGAAAATATATTGACAAATACTGTATGCATTTTGAGAAAATAGTAACAAGCCTTAAAGGATTTTGGCCATGATTTTTCATAATTTCATATTTTACGGTCATTTGATGCAATAATACTTGTAGTGACCGAGACCTCGTCTCTCTCGATAACTAGATGATAGACAGGCCATGTGACACCCAATATGCATATTTTGAACTTGGTACGAGGTCACGTGATCTGTGACGTGACAGTGGCACGACTTATACGATATTTTGTTCATTTATGTAGCCATTCTGACACGCTCCCTTTACATATTTATATATTATCTACAAAACAGTGTAAGTAATGACAGCAACCATTATAATAATTATGTTGTATATTTAAAATCATCAATCGACACATTCAAGTCTGAATCACGGAAATATAATTCCGTGCGTGCATCAACTACATTTAATGTACACTGTAACCTTTAGCTGAGAAATAGTTATACACAGTTTACACACTTAAATATCTTACCCCTGAATTAAAAGGTATGTTGATTACCTGTAGTTCTTACCATTTGGTTCTATAGCCAAAGGACATTTACGATACGTACCTGTGAATTAACAGGTAAACTAGTTACCTCAGAGGTGTTACTGGTGAATGTCAAGGGCAAAGGGCATTTATAACCGATTCTCCAACTAACACCGGTAGTATGGTGCAGGTGCGTTTCCTTTCGTCTCCAATTTTGGAAGGGAAAATGTTCTTGAAAGTATTTTAGTAAATTTCAACAACGTTTAACTGTATTTAACATGAGTTTTTACCTTAGGCTAGTA